ACGACGGCGGCGGCGGGCCTAGCAGCAACCCGGCGGGCTTGGCGAACGTGACCGGCGGTTTTCCTTTCCGGTTTGAAACCGGTCCACCGCCGCCGAGAGACTTCCTTCGAATTGGGGATGCTACTCCCAGGCGTCACCGTCAACCTGTTGTGCCGCCGCCGCTGTTTGATGCTGATTATCTTAGAGCTCAGGTGGCTAATCTTCTAATGGTATGTTAACAGAGTGTACTCAAAATTTTATATATATATATATATATATATATATATATATATATATATATATATATATATATATATATATATATATATAACCAACATGATTGGCGTGGTGGTTCAGCACTTTGCCCCTTAAGCATGAGGTTAGGGGACAGGAGATTAGTCTTTGGCGTTCAGCCGGAGGGATACTTTGGACAACTAAAAAAATACAGAATATATTAATGAAATCTTTCATTATTCAATTCAAAATAAAATTCCAATTATATTAGACTTTGATTATAAATTCATGATAAGATCTTCTATGGAATTGTTCTAATATATTGTCATTTTAGATTCGACGATTTTAAATTAATTAAAACATATTATATATACATATGTATGTAAATATGTATAATGAAACATCATTAGATCATTGCATGTTTAGTTAGTTTGTTATGCAGATTGTAAATGAATAATTCTTATTAAATAGGAAAACATATACAGATATTTGTGATTTTTAATAATCGGATTCTATATTTTCAGCAAATAATGGCTACTCTGCAAGAAGCAGTTGGAAGACAAGCGGAGCCTGGTGTGGTGGATGCCTTAGCAGAGGTAAATAAAACTGCTCAAAATAATGTATTTATTATATTTCGTTTAAATTAGAGTAGTGTCTATTATCTATGAGTGATATTAAATATAGAATAAGATCTATTAGAAAGATGTTTTAATTTATATATATATATATATATATATATATATATATATATATATATATATATATATATATACTCTTAATTTAGGGAGGAAAATATAATTATAGATTTCTATAATTAATTTTCACATTATAATACTAATAAGATTAAATGTACACAATTAAAACAAAATATATGGGGTATAATTAGTATCTGTGATGTATGTTAGTTGTTCAAATATGATTTTTGGGGATTATTAGTATCTTTGAAGATTTTTAATAATATATAGATTACTAATTACTAATATTATAATTTGGGGTACCCCAGTAAAGTTTATTGTACAATTGAATTGGTAACTACAAGTTTTTAAGTTCGATTCTCTATGCAAGTTTTTTATTTGCCTTTTTGGTGTGAGTTAGTCACCTAAGCGTAACCTTTGTTAGTTACCTCCTTATGGTCTTTTGACGTACTTTTTCGACCACTGAAAGTGTTACGGAATCTAATATTTTTTTCAATTTTCAATTCGCCATTGTTTAAGGTGGTCAGAAAGATTAAAAAAAATTAACAATCAAATATAGGTGGTTAGAGAAATAGTATTTTTTTTATCCCTCAATTATACTCATCACCTGTTTTTGTCTTTTAGTTGTTTGCGAAATGTTTTTTTTTTAATTTTATTTTTTATCTATAATTTTTGTTAGGATTTTATTTTTTTAAAAAAGTATTTCACATACAAAAGATGAAAAGGTACTAGTGTTATAATTGAGCGACGAAAAAGTGAGAGATGATACAACTGATAAAAGAAAAATACAATATCTCTATAATTTAGACACAAACGATGCCATTTTCCTATTTTATATAGCTTGAATTTGGATTTGTCTTGTTTTACTTAATTTTTTTAGTAGCAATCCAACGAAACAACAATAACTAATTTTATGATACACAAAATTATAGTTTTCTTTTATTTGTTCATATTTTGATTTCAATGTTATGCTGTTAATTAATTACTAACTCTAATTAATAATTCTATATTTGCAGCTTGTAGAGTCAATGGTGCAAGCACTTGAAGCAGCCCAAATGTTGCTGTGTCCAATTTGCAGGGCTCAGAATAATTGTCGTTATTGACTTCAGTTGAAATAGCATTCTTTTCAATATTTTCTTTTGAGGTTCCAAACCTTCATTTCAGTATAAGACTTTCTTATGAAATTTTCTATAATGTCGTATAGACTGAATTATATTATAAGTTTTTAATGTTATGATTACAATAATTATTGATTATATATTCGGAGGTGTTTTGTTAAGGGTTTTGAGTTTTAATTTAATGGGGGTTTAATTGTTATTCCCAAAACGTTGAATCCCCAATTCCAAGAGCCCCCACACCCTAGCTCGACAGAGCATCTAGGAAGATGTAAATCATGGTAACTCAATCGTTGAACACAGAGTTGAGGCTAGACCTTTGTTTACTGTACTGCGCATAATTAAGGAGTCCCTTCACTTTAACAAGTTGCTCCTACAGTGCCGTTGGTGAGACTCGATCCCAGATCATTGTTCTCAGACTTCACGCTTGTGATCAACTGAGCTGTCTATGCGAGGTTATTGGAGTTTTAATGTTTTAGCCCTTGCTTGCTGGATTATTACCATTTATTTCCTATATACTATATAGTCCTAATCTGCTATAATCATATTATTTCCCAGTCACTACTGCCATCCTCTTTTTCAGATGGAGCGTGGATATTACAGGAGCAGTCCCCATGGTAACGATGTGGTGATTTTTAAATTTAAAAGTGTTTAAAATATATTCACTCTAGAATATTTATTACTTCATTATTCAACAATCATTATATGATGGACCATGATTGCATGTTTGGCTGGATGTGACAAAATTTTTTGGATAAAGAGAGTATTTAATCATAGTATATACTATATAGCGAGGCATTCAATTTTTTCCTTTCTTTGCACATTACAAAATTATAATTTGATAACTATATATGAAACCTCAATAAAATGAATATATATGAATACTCCATCTCTCAAAAAAAAAAATATTGTCGAGTTTGACTAGACGTATATAGATTTAGGTATATATTTTAATGTGTTGATTAAATGATTTATTTCTATTTTTGTATATACTAAATGCAACATAAAATTTAAATGTTGTTCTATTACTGCACATACTTTGCACATAATTTAGGAATTAAAAAGGGAGTTATGCATATGATTCAGCGAATAAATATGTACTATAAATATAACTGAATGAAAAAAAAAAAAAAAAAAGAAGCAAATTTTCCTTAATATAATGACCTCTCAGTTTTTGCAAAAACATTTGTATGTGAAAATAATAAGAGAGATGAAATTAAAAAGGAAAGGGAGTGTGATAGCAATAATCGTATGCCGGCATTTTGGTCTGCACAAGATTTAGTATTTTAATAAATTGTAAAAGATAACATAAATATTTTATGATATTTTTCATATTTGATAATCAAAATTTAGTATTTTAATATAATTACTGTTTTAATATTGTAAATTAATTTTCGTACGTGCGTGGTGCGTGCGATGGACAATTTTTTACTTTTATTTTTTATTTTTTGAGAATGAAGAAACATTTATAAATACTATTGGAGTTGTTTGAATTAATTTATTATTATTGGAACTCAAGAATGGAGCGTGAAAGTGGAAGCAACAATGGCACGCCACCAAGATTCCGGCCGGTACGTCTGTTCGGAGTGGACATAACCCTGCCGGTGAATGGCGATGGTCGGCGGCAACCTACAACGCCGCTGCAGATTCACTCACTCACAATCACTCAACTAATCGATTCTTTTTCTCCCGGCATCACAACAAACCCGCCGGCATTTCATTCATCTATCGCCGGTGGCCTGTTTAGAAGCAGCTCTAGCGTAACCAGCGGTGCAACCACAATATTGGTTGTAGAAGAAGAACCTGATGTTGCTGCCCTTCTGCCGCCGTCACCGCCGCATAACCACCCTCACCAACCTGCTGGGCCACCCCCACCGCCGCAAATTGATACAAGGGATGCTAATAATTCTTCAATAATGGATGAACGCAATTTACATTAGAGTATATATATATATATATATATATATATATATATATATATATATATATATATCAATATCACAGAGACACACACATTATATTAGAGTAATACAATAAATAAAATTCAGTTCATTTACATTTTAATTAGTAAGGACTAATTAGTTATTTCCTAAAACATACATATTAAATTTATAAAAATGGTTTGCATTATTATTATTATTATTAGTATTATATTATTATTAAACAATAACAAAAGTATTTTATTTTGATATTGTTCAAATCCGATAATCAAAATTTAGTATTTAAATAAATTACAAAAGATAATAGGAATTTAAAAGTTCAAAAAATTTAGTATGACTACTATTTTAATATTGGACACAATTTTTCATGCAACGCGCTTATATCAGTTTTAATTTAATATAAGAAGGACAATTATTTTGAGAATGAAGAAAGATTTATATATAAGTAGGGTTAATTTCAGCAATAATTCTCAAATTTCACTATCTCGATTTATTTCCATCCTTTCAATTCAGTTTTGTTTTGACTTGCTTGAAATACCTATTTGATTGCACAAATCTAAAGTTGAACAAAGAATTCTAATCAAAATTAACTTATAAAGAAGTAATCGGGATTAGATTTTGAACCCTATTGCGTTTTCTTGATAATTAGTCTCTAGCGGTTTTTTAATAGTTGTTGTTAGTGGTTCTGGTTTAATTTTAATAGTCAAGGTTTAAGCTCCTAAACAATTAGAGATTCTGATATTATTCACAATTGGGGACAAAAAGGAAGAAAATATTAACGTTATGAAAAGACAAATATACCTCTTAACTCGACGGGAAAATAAGACTAAAGTAACCGATAAACCATGGGAGAAAATATTTTAGTAACCAAAGATTACATTTCACAAAATTTACAAAATAACTAAATTTAAATCATCACGAATTCACGATAGTCATATGACATTTATTACATTTACTCTCTATAAATACTACTATATTGGAGTTCTTTTTCTAAAGCAAATATTTTGAATTAATTTATTCTTACTGAAACTCAAGAAATGGAGCGGGAAAGTGGAAGCAACAATGGCACGCCACCAAGATTCCGGCCGGTACGTCTGTTCGGCGTGGACATAACCCTACCGGTGAATGGCGATGGTCGGCGGCAACCTACAACGCCGCTGCAGATTCACTCACTCACAATCACTCAACTGATCGATTCTTTTTCTCCCGGCAACACAACAAACCCGCCGGCATTTCATTCATCTCTCGCCGGTGGCCTGCTTAGAAACAGCTCTAGCGTCACCAGCGATGCAACCACAATAACGGTTGTAGAAGAAGAATCCGAGGTCGCCGTTCTTCCGCCGCCGCCGTCACCGCCGCACAGCCACCCTCACCAATCAGCTGTGCCACCGCCGTTGCCGCAAATTGATACAAGGGATGCTAATAATTCTTCAATAATGGATGAACGCAATCTTCAAATGGTACGAATTACACGCTAATTAATTAAATTTCCATATTACAACAAATTCGTTATATGATTTTAGATTTCTAAAATCTTGTTACTCGGCTTTAATTTAAAACGTTGTATATACATGTATCTATCTATGTGTATATGAACCTCCATCATCAGATTATTTTATGTATAGTTTGTATCTTATGAAGATTATAAAGTTCGAGACAACATAATCCTTATTATTAGAAATTAATTAATTAATTAATGAAATGGAAATTAATGTTTGTTACAAAATATAATAGGAAAACATATACAAATTAAGATTTGTGATTTTTAATGTGATCTGATGGTAATTCGATCTACATTTTCAGCAAGTAGAGAATGGTTTGCGGGAAGCAGGAGATGTGGACCCGGATATGGTCAATTCCGTAGTACAGGTAAAATGTTTTTCATACTAGACAGTAATATCATAGACAAAATTGAAAATGTTTACCAAAAAAAAAAAACATAAAATGTTTTTTTTTTAAATTTAAAAACCAATTATAATTTTGTGGATATATATTACATTATCAAATTCTAGTATTTCTCAATAATCGATAAAAACAAATTAGCGAGAAGTTTTTGTTTTTTTGGTACGCTGAGGGACTCAAAGGTCCCAAATTAGTTAACTCTTCTAGTAGTTGGCATCCTTTTCCATCAAAGTCATGATTCCCTCCGGGATTGCTCCAAGATCGTTGTATCCCAGTCCGTAGATTGATCAAGATTGGCTAAGTAGTCAGCACATTGGTTCTTTTTTCGGAGAACATGAACGAACTCAATGTCTTGAATCTGATTCATAATGTGTCTACAATTAGTGATCAACGTGTAATCTTCCGGTCTAGACTCGCTCTCTTTTCTTATGGCTTAGAGAACAAACAATGAGTCAATTTCAACTACAATCCTTTGGAACTCACAATTTTTAACGATGATAAATCCTTCTCTGATCTTAGGCCCCAAAGTTCTGCAATGAAGTTACTAACGATGCCAACCTTAGCCGTGAAACACACAATCCATACACCAAAGTGATTGATCTCGGATACTACGACAGTATCTCATAGACACTAACTCTACCCAAATAAATAAATACAAAAAATGTGTACATTTGTAGGTAGTAGCGGAGGCTAGATAATTACAATTTGTTTTTAATTATCTTTTCATTTTAACGTGATGATGTTAATTTTTATGTCTAATTAGTAATTCTAAATTTGCAGCTTATTTTGGATACGTTGGAAGTACTTGAAGACAATGTGGACCATGATGACATCCTGAACGTGCACTTGTCAATACAGGTAAATATATATAGCAATAATCATACATTACTGCCTACTTTTTTGTTGCTTAGAAACTTTACAATGTAACATAATAATTTCTAAGAATAAATCCATTTCATCATCTACTTTTGTTTCTTTTATCTTTGAAAATTGCATGGTTATACATAGACATATGTTAATGTTTCCTAATATATGATAGTTAGAGGAGATTATGGAGGACTCATACGATGAGCAGGCAGGACTGAGTGAGGAAGTTATTATGAGTCATTTGGGTACCTCTACTTTTGAAACATCATCTGATGAGGATAAGGACTCTTGCTGCATTTGCTTGGTAAGACAAAATACTTATTTAAATTCTCCATCATTAGTTTTGCTTCAAAATATAGGGTCAAGTTCGCGTGCTGACAATGCTTCCCGAGCGATCGTGTGGTCACTCACCATTAAGTACGCATAAATGCATCACAAAGTGTACAGAAATGCAACATTAGGTGTGGTACGTTTTGTTGTGCATTTGTACATTTCATTGTGGTACATTTGTGACCTGATGGTGAATCCGCACCGGCTACACAGGAAGTACTGTCCGTATTTGAACTAGATAGTGTCTCAAAATATATACCCTTTGACGTGATTTTACTTAAGTAATTTGTAATGAAATCAATCAATTTATGAATTATCTCAGATAGTTGGATTTTAAATTTGTAGGATGAGTTCTCAACCGGAGATGAGCTGGGAAAAATCAACTGTTACCACAAATTTCATTTCATGTGCATACTGGAATGGCTGAAGCGCAACAACATCTGCCCAGTTTGCAGGGCTATAGCTTTGTCTGTGAGCTGAGTCGGAATACTCTAATTTTTCAGTATAAGATTGTGATATGAATTTTTCTATAATTTCGTATGGACCGTATCATACATTTATTTTCTTTGATAGGATAATTACAATAATTGATTTTATGTTAGTAAGCATTTTGTTAAGACTTTTATATAAGTGTTTGAGTATAACCTTAGCTTGCTGCAAACATCAAGCTAGTTTGCTAGAGTTATATCTTTTACTGCTGCATACTATAATACTGTTATTTTTATTCTTTATAACTTTTTGAATTTGGTATTTCGTTTGCAAAATAACTAGAGAATTGACGACCTTTTTCACTAAATTTTTACTCTTCAATTATGGTACATCGTTTCAATTCTATTTCTCATACATATATATTTTTCTTGTTTGATGGTTCAATTATACATTTTAAAATTCAATAACCTAAATACCTAATTGCACAAAAGTAAGGAATTTAAGTACCTATTTAACACTTTTTCCTAAAAACTTTTTCTCTCTACATACTTGCATTTATTTATTTGTATATCGTCCTTCACAACACACACAAACATACCCATTTCAAACAACAAGCTACAAGACATTCTAAAATAAAATCATTGGCAAGTCAAAGACTTTTGTTGTTCACTCTTAGTGTACTTGTTAAAATTTAAAATTGTTTATAAATCTATTCACCAGTGCCTACCCCACCCATTTAAACATTTACTTGCCACCTGGGGATCAAATGAATCTCAAATATGTAACTTTTTTTTTAATTAATCGAATCAAACTAATAAAATGAGACGGAGGGAGTAATATTTTTCTATATGTTAACAGATATTATAAATTTATTGAAAAATATTACATTTTTAACAATCAAATAAAATATTTCTATGATAATGTAATACATGTAAACTCAGATTTTTTTTTTTAATTTTAATAAAAAATATTACATTATGCGCAAAGTGACAATCCTAGTCTCTGAATGACCAAGTCGGTCATTTTATTAAGTGAAATATTGGAGGCAAAAATAGTCCTAAGGGACTAAAATCGTCGCTTCTCACATATTTTAAGGGTTAAAGATGATCACACATATATTTTAGGAACTAAATATGTATCATAAATATAACTAAAGGACAAAAAATCTACATATTTTCCTTAATATAAAGAACTCTCAGTGGCTACAAAAGCATTTGTGAAAATAACAAGAGAGACTAAACTAGTAAAAAGAAATGGAGCGTGAAAGCAATAGTCGTATGCCAGCATTTTAGTTAAAATATCTGTGTTGACGGATACTATAAATTTATCAAAAATATTACATTTTTAACAATCAAATAAAATTTTTCTATGATAACATAATACTTGCATTGTAAAATTCACTGAAAAAGAAATTATATTTTCACTAAAATATATTACATATTTAAAATATATATGTCTCATAAATTTTTTTTGTGTGAAATAAAAATACTCATTTTCATGATAAAAAAAATATATTTATTACTTCATTATTAAAAGTACCCTTTAAATAAAAATTAAGTGTATTGTGCTCGTAAATTTAACACGCACTTATTTGGGCTAAAAATAACATATAGTATCTAATTAAATATATTTTTCAAAGCTGGATGTGACAAATTTTTCCAGATAAAGAGAGTATTTAATCATAGCATATACACTATACGGAGGAATTTATTTATTTTTTTCTTTCTTTGCACATTATTACAAAATTATAATTTTATAAGTATACATGAAACCACAAAAATTGAATATATTTTTGAAAACCCAAAAATGAATATATTAATACTCCATTAGTCTAAAAAATATTGTTTGAGTTTGAATAGACATATACAGATTTAGGTATATATTTTAATGCGTTGATTAAATGATTTATTTATACTTTTGCACTTAGGTATATATTTAATGTGTTAATTAAATGATTTATTTCTATTTTTGCACTTACTAAATGCAACGTAAAATTTAAATGTTGTTTTATATTTGGTAATTTGACAATTTTTGAGGAATATAATATCTCAATTTGGAGACAAAGTATTTCCAAAGAAAATTTTATCTAATTAGGAAAAACATATTTTTTTAGTCCGTTCTTTGGTAGTCGTTTAGTTCATAATTATATTCTATCATTGCAGTATACATCCCAAATTTTTCAAAAAGTTATATTTTTAGCCCTTGCATCAACAAAAATTTAAACTCTATTAAATTTATTTAGTACATGAGTATTTTAAAATTTTATTTTTACTCTTTATAACATTTTTACATTTCATTTGCAAAATAGAGAATTGACAAACTTTTTACCTTAATTAATTTTTCCTCTTCACAAACATTATTCATGTTTTTCATACACAAACCTTTTAAAAAATTAAGTTTTTGTCTTTTGAAAAAAAAATTACAAATGAAAAATCTAGACTAAATAAGATTATAATTAAAGGAAAAAATATTTAAAAGTTCTAGAAAGTACTAAATATTTACATATTAAGTAATATTTTAATATAATTTAGTGGTTTTGTTGATTCATAGATTAAAATTTATAACTTTTTTAAATAGTTAAAGAATGGTATTGTAACGGTAAAAGGTAACAGACTAAAAATGCTAACAAAGAATAATTGAAAGACTAAAAATATATTTTTCCATATCTGATTACATTTCTTGTTTACTGAATTTCATTTTTTTAATCTATTCTTTATCTTTAATATAAATATACAATGAACGCTCAGTATCTGCAAAAAAACATTTGTATGTGAAAATAATAAGAGAGACAAACTAATTCCAAAAAAAAAAAATGGAGCGCGAAAACAATAGTCGTGCGCCAACATTTCGGGCTGCACTGATTGTATATATCTTTGGCGCGGCCATCACGGTGGCGTACAACGGCGGTAGGCGGCGGCGTCATCCTCGTCAACCACGAACAAATCAGAACGCCGACATTCCTGTCAGACCTCCGGCGCCGCAGGTTCAGTTTATCGACTTCTTTGCAGCTGAATCCGACATCTCGAGAAACTCGGCGGTTCAAAACGCCGACATTCCTGTCGGACCTCCGTTGGCGCCGCCGGAAGCTGTTCAGTTGATCGACTTCTTTGCTGATGAGTCCGATAACATCTCAACAAACTCGACGGCTCATTCACCAAGCGACGGCGGCGGCCGGACTAGCAGCAATCCGGTGGGCTTGGCGAACGTGACCGGCGGTTTTCCTTTCCGGTTCGAAACCGGTCCACCGCCGTCGAGAGACTTCCTTCGAATTGGGGATGGTATTCCCAGGCGTCACCGTCAATCTGTTGTGCCGCCGCCGCCGCCGCCGTTTGATGCTGATAATCTTAGAGCTCAGGTGGCTACTCTTCTACTGGTACGTACGCTAATAAAATACTTTATTTTTAATTATATATGTATAATGAAACATCATTAGATCATTGCATGTTTAATTCGTTTGTTTGTTGTGAATATTTCTTATAAAGTAGGAAAACATATATATACATACAGACATTTTTGTGATTTTTAATAATTGGATTCTATATTTTCAGCAAATAATGGCTACTCGGCAGGAAGCACTTGGAAGACAAGCGGAGCCTGGTGTGGTGAATGCCTTAGCAGAGGTAAATAAAACTGCTCAAAATAATGTAGTAATTATATTTCGTTTAAATTAGAGTAGTGTCTATTATCTATGTGTGATTTTAATTTAGATCATATAATGTAAGATTTATAATAATAGTTTTAAAAGTAAAATGTAATAACAATGACAATAAAAATATTACTGAGAATTATTGAAAATTCATTGAGTTTGGCTGAGAGGGCCGAGAGAGTGTTGGTAAGAATCAAACTCGTGAATTTAACTACAAGAATCATGTTTTACCCATTCGGCCACTTTTTTCGAGGCCAACCAATCTACTCTAAACAAATTGGGTAACGAGGAAAACCAACAACCACTACTTGATGATGTGCACTATGTAAGCCTCGTTTCTACGTAACATGATGTGCAATGTGTTTGACTGAAAATGTATTAAAGTTGGCTAATAATTCATATTAAAAGTCGAACTTGTAATATTGTACTTATCAAGTTAATAGTCAGATCAACTTGACAAGGTTGTCCCAGCCAATCTAGCTACTTTTGATAATATGAAGGATTGTTAGCACATATTTCATATTTGGGATTAACTTTAGTATAAATATTGGGGAAAATAGTATTTCTCTGTCTACTATTTCTATATGAGGAAATCAAATATACTATAGCAATTAGTGTTACATTAATATATTTTAATAAATTAAGTTTAGGTTATTTCGGTACATTTAAAATATAGAATAAAATTTATTAGAAAGATGTTTAGTTTTGTTAGATCATACAATGAGAAGTAAAAGAAATCAATTAAAGAACTTGATCTTATATATATATACACTCTTAATTTAGGGAGGAAAATATAATTATAGATTTCTAAAATTTCCATATTATGATACTAATAAGAAGTTTCAGACAAAAAGTAGGGGAGGGTACCAACCTTAGATCCGCTAGCTATTGCCTACAAATTAAATGTACACAATTTTAAAAAATTATTTGGGGTATAATTAGTATCTATGATGTATGTTGTTCAAATATGATTTTTGGGGATTATTATTATCTTTGAAGATTTTTAATATTATATAGATTAATAATATTATAATTTGGGGTAACCCTAGTCAAGTTTGTCAGACAATTGACTTAGTAACTACAAGTTTTTGGACACTTTTTGTCTTTTCATATTTTTCTTTTGTTATTTTGTCGGTTTCAACCGGTTTAATTGATTTTGAACTTTAGGTAACCTCTGATTTTTAGTAACATATTTTTCAACCAGTTTTTAGTAAAGTCCTAAACCAATTATACCGGTTGAAATCGAAAAAATATGAAGAGACAAAAATATCCTTACTAAAAATAGAAAAAGTCATGAGAAAGACTAAAAGTGTTCAAAAAATAATAATCCGAGGATGTTAAATAGCAAAAAGATAGTATGGGACTAAATTTGACATTATCACCAAAAACAAGGGACCTCTGGTGG